CATTTGTTTCTAATTCAAACGGAAAGGAAAAATTAGAAAGAACCAGAACAGGAGCTTGTGTCACAAAGTGTATTGTCAAAAGCAACTTGAATTGTATCAGACCATAGAAAAGTATTCTTTTCTAATAAGTCATACAAATGAGAGGCTAATGAAGTATACTCTTTAATGAAACAACGGTAATAACTAGTGAGACCAAGGAAACCTCTAAACTACTTAAGAGTAGTTGGAACTGGCCACTTTAGGACTGCTTCAACCTTATCAAGATCCATATACATGTCCAAAGAGGAGACCGTATGACCCAAATAAGCAATCTATTGTGTACCAAAAGCGCATTTTGACAATTTAGCATGAAGTTGATGTGCTTGCATAATAAATAGTACCCTCTCTAAATGTTATAAATGATCATATCATAATGCATTGTAAATTAGTATATCATCAAAAAATACCAAAACAAACTTGCATAAGAAATTCTAAAATATCTTTTTCATAAATGCCTGAAAGGATGTTAAAGCATTTGTGTTTGAACGGCATCACCAACCATTCATAATGCCCTTGGTGTGTGCGAAAGGCTATCTTATGAAGGTCATCTGGTTTAACAAGCAACTGATGATAACTAGAACGCAAGTCCAATTTAGAGAAGAAACAAGCACCATGTAATTCATCCAATAACTCATCAATAGTTGGAACCGGAAAGCAATTTTTAATCATCACTGCATTAAAGGCCTTGTAATTAGTGCAAAATCGCTAAGACCCATCCTTCTTCTTAACCAAAATCACTGGAGATGAAAAAGGACTCATACTAGGTTGAATAAGCCCTTCCTGTAACAAGTCACTAACAATCTTCTCTATCTCAACCTTGTAATTAAAAGGATACCAGTAAGACCTCACCTTCATGGGTGGAACATCCAATAACAAGGGAATTGCATAATCATGACTCTGTGGTGGTAGTAAGCCGTGAGGCTTACTAAATATTGAAATGAACTTCTGAAGTATGACCAATATATCAATTGGTGGTGTCAACTAAAGAATCCACGCATTAGCAGACATTTGAGGGTGTAATGTGAAAATTGTTGAAATTTGCATAAGTATGATGTAGGCGGCAAAGGTGATGGTATTGTGCCTGAGTAATAGAAGTTAAAATGTGAGAATCTCCCTAAAGCATAACAAAAACTAAACCGTCAAAGAATTTAATTGAAAGTGTGCTATAGTTTGCCACATGAGGTCCTAATGTTGCCAACCAAGAAGCGCCAAGAATAACCTCTGCACTAGAAACTGGTAAAAGAAAAGCATATAGATGAATTGCATAACCCTGAATGGAAAGCAAAACCTGTGTTACATGGCCTTCACATGTCAGATAGTGTCCATTGCTTACCAAAACCTTGAAATCAGGCGGATGCTCAATTGGAAGATGAAGAAATTTTGCCTAATGGGGTTGAATAAAATTGTTCGAAGACTCACTGTCAATGAGAATTTGAACTTCATGTCCAAACATTAACCCACGAAATCGCAAGGTACCTAGACCAGAAGCACCATTAAAAGCGTTATGAGATAAGTGATGAAATTATGTAATTGTCTCGTTAACTACCAGAACGGAATCATCTTACAGCACAATCGGCAAATTATCTGACAGTGGTTCATCTTCTTGGAGAAGGAATAGAAACTGACAATTCAAACATCGATGGTTAGGCGTAAATTTCTCATCACACGTATAACAAAGACTGCAGTTATGATGAACATGCACTTAACGACAGTCATGCACTTTACAGAATGAGATGAAGTGGGCACTAGTAAGACCAGCATTTTCACGTTTGAAAGCAAACCTGGTAACAATGATGTTTGCGATGAAGGAAAAGGGGAAATATTGTGGTTTTGGGTCAAGGCAAAAAATTAGGTCCAGGGATGGTGCGAAATTGACGTGATCTTAGCATTATACAGTTTTGCTAACGCCACTGCCTTGACCAAAGAAGTTGAAGACTGAACTTAAACTTCCCTCTTTACATCCGTTTTGAGACTATTGATAAAGCAATTCAGTAACACAACATCGGTAAGTCCTTCCACTCAATTCGCCAAAGAAAAGAATTCATGATAGTAATTTTGAACCAAATCAATCTAAAGAAAGCTTGAATAAAGTCGTCAAGGGGAGTAAAATGGAGAAAGACCAAAATGTGCTTTGACTGCCTGCACAAGAGCCTGCCAAGTGGGAAGGAGATTTGTCCATTGAAGCATTTGAAACCACGGACTAGCGTCACCTTCCATATGGATAGTAGCAATGGCCAATTGCTGCGGTTGTGGTGTTTGATAAAAAGCAAGGAACTATTCTACGTGAAATAACCAATTAAGTGGTTCTGAGCCATCAAACTTAGAGAAATCCAACTTCACAGAACAAATAAGTAAATTGTTATTCTAAACTCCTAGAGCGGCATCAATACAAACTACGTGGTCCAAATTACACAAAATTGTGTCAATCGAATGCGTAATGATACCCATTGATGATTCCAAGTGTTTTGCATATTGGATCTCCTTTATGTATGCCTAATATTGATGATTTGAGATAAAAGATTTTGAAAAAGGATCAACATTCCTCTTACACCATGCATATAGGTAGGTGCTAATAAAATGTATCAGAACATGCAAGGAGTTTATTGGTGGAAAGGAATTGATGGAGACCAAGCCTTGTGAGATCATGAACAAGCGTCAAAGGACAAGGAGCCCAGTGAGCCCAATACATTTCAAGGACTTGGAAGCCCAATAACAAGAGCAAGAACCAAAAAGATTAAGGAGGCCCTTCAACAAGTCATAATCACATTATTTGGAGAGAAGCCCAACATGAATCAAGAGAGGTCCAAGATGGTGAATTGCATTCAAGAGTTAGAAGAGTGATGGCTTAAAGTATGCAAAGAAGGCTCAATGCTTATTTTTGGCGTGCACATGTTTTTGTGCTTAAAGAAGGCTCAAAACAATTCCTTTAAGTTTGTGGCTGAACTAGGAGTGCCAAAAATAGCCATTGAGGGTTATTATTTTAATTAATTGTGAGTTGAATAATGCCTAGGTGGACCATCCATTGATTGGCTGAATTATTGAGAGAGAGTGTGTGTGTGTGGTGCTTTTAGTTACCTATTTTGGTTACAAAATAGTCATTAAGTGAAGCTTGATGAGTGGAGCTTAATGGGACTTTGAATGAACATTATTGCTGTAATAATTTTCGCCACTAATTCATTGCTTAAGGGTGGTTAGCACAAAGTTGTATGGATTATCAATTTGAAGGAAAATTTAGCCTTTGCAAACTTGGAGTGATTCTCTAGATTTCTTGAATGATTCAAGAACCTAGATTTATCAAAGGATATTCATCCCTTTTGTGTGCATGCCTAACCTGATGAAAGAGTGATTCTTTCATTTCATTCCCAGTTTTCTCAATTACCACGTGATTGAACCCTAATTCCCCTATTTTCTCAAATTCGAATTTCAAATATAAAGGAAACCTAAATTTATTTTTAAGAGTCTTACATCTTAAATTTATATTTATTAATATATATTGATTATTAATATTTAATTATTTTAAAACTATACAACAAAAGTATTATTTTAAAATAAATTATATCCTTAAATTATTTAATTTTATTAAATACTTATCATTTTAAAATTATTATTTAAAATAATTTAAAGTTACAAAATATGAAATTTTATTTTTAAATTATATATTTAAAAAATAAACATCATTGCATTAAAGGCTATTAAATTAGGAATAATAATTGATAACCGTCTTGATTTTAAGTAAGTCATGTCATCTGTGGCCACTAGTTGCAACCCCCATTAACCTAATTGTTAATAATACTTTTAAATCTAAGTTTTATTATTAAACGAAATCAATGAGTTTTGTTAAATTTTACATTCATATTTGATAAAACTTACTTGAAATTAATTTAATAATTAAAATGTTAAAAAAAAATTTATATATATATACATATTATTGACATTTTTCAAGTGAGTGATTGTACGCTCCAACCATAGCCGACTTTTATAACGATAAACCCTTTCACCCATTTTTGCCTTTTTAATTTTATTTTTTTTGCTAAAAGTCCTCTGACTTTTTTCGTTTACGTCAGGCATCCTAGTCAATGTTTCTTTATTATATTAATTTGATCTTTAAATAATAAAACCACCTAACATATATTCTTATACTTGGTTTTCGTCTTGCTTATTTTTCAATTCCTTTTTTTCTTATATCATATTATTTATTATTATTGTTTTTTCTATTTCTCTCTTCTTCAATACGATATGTACACTCCAGAGGAATCTCTTTTCCTATTATAATTACGCTCAGTTCCATTCATGTCCCAGAGATAGAACATTAATGGCTTCTGCAAAGCGCTATATACATTTATATTTCTAAGTATTTACTTATGTCAAAACTCAGATTTTTAGAAGATAAAGATTTTATCCATTGTGGATAATTTTTGTAGGTATTCAACTTCACTGGTAGTTGGCTCTACGTCAGCAACCCATTCTTTTTTATTTATAAATTCATGTTTTTTATATTTTTTTTATTTTTAATAAATTTTAATCAATAATAAAAAGTGTGTTCCTAGTATTAATTAGTTTTACACATTGAACCCCTTTATACTCCCTAATTAATTTATTTTTTTCATCTAAAAACAGTCTTATATACTTGGTCTACGAGAAGGAGGGGAAAAAAAAATAGAACACATTGTAATATCGAACATGAACATTGACGAGTAATGTGTTTAATTAATTAACTGACCAACTGATTTGAGCAGACTAATATTTGCAGACTAATATTTGAAAAACTTAAATTATTGAACGTAGAAATAATGTCAGACGACTATCACAAGTTTTTTTTATCACAAGCTTTCCGCAGCTCCATCATAATTTGTGGCACAAGTCAGCTATTCATGCATTTGAAACTAAAATTTACTATTTTTCTCACAAGCTGGTCTATTTTAATCATGTTTTAATTAAAAATGGTATGATGACAAAATCCGATGGCTAGCCAATGTGATAGTCAATGAAAATTTACGTGTCAATTTAATTCAAATACGCTACAAATAAATTAGACAAGTAAAGTTGATTAAAATAACAAATTTTATAATCCCATTTCAGCATACATGCATGTTTGACTGAATATTAATTGTATACATTAGACCAAATACTACGTAGGTTATATTAAAATGAAATAGCAGAAGTATACGTACGTCAGCGAGTGCCTATATAAGGATTCCACTCCATTGTGATTACTATCACATTTGCATAGAAGAGTTGAACTAATTAATACATTAATTTCCATTGTTTTGTTCTAATGGCGACAGCAACAGCTAGCAAGATTTTGATCATAGGAGGAACAGGGTTTATAGGAACGTTCATGGTGAAAGCGAGTGTTAAGGCTGGCCACCCCACCTTTGTACTGGTTCGAGAGTCCACTATTTCTGACCCAACCAAATCAGCCCTCATTCAAAAATTCAAGACATTAGGTGTCAACCTTGTTTTGGTACGTAAATCCCTTGAGCTTTGTTTTTCACGTCTTCTCCATGCACCCTCCATTTTGTGCAAAGAAATGTCAGCATCACATACTTTGATACATTTTTAATTATGTATTAAAAATTATATAAGTTTCACTCTTTTCTGCTCCAAATTTAATATTTATTTCTTGTACTTTCATAAATTTTAATTATAATGGTTGTGTTTCACGATTTTCATCAGGGAGATGTACATGACCATCAGAATTTGGTTAAGGCAATAAAGCAGGTAGATGTGGTGATTTCCAATGTGGGTCTCATGGAAATTCGCCATCAATATAAGATCATTTCTGCCATTAAAGAAGCAGGAAACGTTAAGGTAAGCCATCTTCTTTTTCAATTGTTTAGGTGTAGAACCTTGGTTAATATCAATAACATCATTTACCAGGTTTGTTAAGGAGACCTATATTTATTGGTTATCTGCATATAAATAAATAAATAAGATAAATATCTGCCTGACAAATTATTATTATTATTATACTACAGTTTTGGATAAATAGTTATTTTACAATTTTGTAATTTATTTTAATATATTTTTAATAATATTTTTCATTTATAATTTATTAATTCATTAAAAAATATTAGATAATATTATATTTTAGTTAACAAAAAACATATAATAAAAACAAATATGAAAATTGACTCATTCAACAAAAAACAAGATCAAAGTTGATCCCATACAAGTATAAGAATTAATGGTCACATTATTTTTTAAAAACACAAAGATATAAATAAATATTATAATACTTTACATTTACGCAGCACCCATCGTAGTCCTTAATATTTTAAGTTGTTTAATACTATCCATATCCATGTTGAAAAAATGAGTTGCACCACAATCTCTGTGCATTTCCATCGAACACCGGATGAAGCTTAACCTGAAATAAGATCTAGTATCTATGCATAAATCCTCTGCCATATACTGAATTTTGGTACTATTTTCATGACACTCTCATGCCTTGCTTGAACTTATTATTTTGGCTGCTACTATAGTAATAATTCTTTGAAATAGAAAACATATGCTGAGCTTGTTCAAATAAGGAAAGTGATTTTTAAGCACAAAATTGAGATACCATAAAGTTGTTTCTTTCAATTTTGGTTAGGGGGCATATTTGAGATATATATGTATGATAAGACTAAAAAAAGTGAAAAATAATTATTATTATTATTATATATAATGTCAAATGCATTATCAATTGTTTGCAGAGGTTCTTTCCTTCGGAGTTTGGAAATGATGTGGAGAGGACACATGCAGTGGATCAGGCAAAGGTATTATTTGACACAAAGGCCCAAATTCGTCGAACCATTGAAGCTGAAGGAATTCCCTATACCTTTGTGGTGTCTAACTTCTTTATTAGACACTTCCTACCCACTTGGTCACAAATTGGAGCTAAAGATTCTTCAATAAATAAAGTGATTATTCTTGGGGATGGAAATACCAAAGGTAACAAGGTTTTGCATTAAGATTAAAAATAGAGTAAGCATCACACATCTTCCTTATTAACTTTTGCTTAATTAACAGTTGTTTTTAATACGGAAGAAGATATTGCCACTTATACCATCAGAGCTGTTGATGATCCAAAAACATTGAATAAAATTATGTACGTCAGAAACCCAGCCAACACTATGTCTTACAATGACTTAATATCTCTCTGGGAGAAGAAAACTGGTAAGACTCTTAAAAGGATCTATGTTCCAGAGGACCAAATTTTGAAGATCATTGAAGGTTAGTGTTTCATAATTACTTTTACACTTTCAAGATGAAAACTTTGGCTTATTAGTTAATAATGTAATGGATGGGTGTCTAGTGAGAACATTATTTTTCGAGAAATTAACTCAATAAATGTCATTTAGAGAATCCCATGGAAGTCTTGATAAAAATAACTTTACACGTGAAAAATGGCATTTTTTTTAAATTTTAAAATCTAAATTTAAACCATTATCTATCTAAGATTATTTTCTTCGAATATATTTTAGAAAGCAACAATAAAATAAGTGATATTTTAAGATTATTATTATAGTAATAATTTTACTTATATAAAATTGATAAAATAAATCATATTTGTACATTTAAATAAAAGAATCATCCATAGTATGTATACTAAATTGATGTGAATAATGACAAAGTAATAATAGTAGATTAATTGTTAACAACATAGTATGATAATAACACTAATGTTTTATGTAATTAATAATGATAAAAAAAATAATTATAAATATATTTTGTATAAATAATACACTTATATACGCACACACACAACGATTGCTTCTTTCATTTTACAAAACAAATCAAACTCTAGGAGAGCTTGAAATTATGGAGCATAAAACTGTGTTTTGTTTTTGGGTTAAAAGAGCACTAAATTTCTTTTTTTTTCTAGCATTGAAATTTTTAAATATATACTTGTGCTGCCTATCGTAAGTTTGTTTTTTGTTTTTTTTGTAGAGTCTTCATTTCCTAATAATATGGGCCTGGCAATTTGTCTCGCTTCATACGTAAAGGGAGATCACATTAACTTTGAAATTGAGCCCTCTTTTGGAATAGAAGCTATAAAGCTCTACCCTGATGTCAAATACATCACCATGGATGAGTTCCTTGAGGAAAATAAAGCTTGCACGCCATTTTATTTAAACAAGTATATGCCACCTAGTTATTTCCAGGGCTTTTAGTAGCAATGTGTATTGTTTTATTAATGCGTTAGTAATTGATTGCTACATCGTGGAAATCAATTACTAAATGGTTTTAATAAATATACATTGTTATTAAAAAAAAAACAGGGTTAACTATAATAAATGGTATACAATTTCGTGTATGAAAATGTTAATGGTTCGCTTAGTTTGTTTGCAAATATAAAATAACATGTTATATCCATGTCTCTCTTTCCAGTGAGATGGAAAAGTCAAAGAAGACTCAAATTGTTGTAGCAAAGGTTGATGTTTTCAGAACACCAAATAAAGCTATTTTAGTTTATATAATGTCTATTGAAGTATGCTACAAATCTTTCTTGCCTTCTTTCGTATTTAGTGGGAATTAATAGTTGCGTAAAATGTAAGATGAATAGATATGCAAAGCTAATGTTGAATAAAAAACAAAAGCTAACCTCAAGTCATTCCAAATTAACTCGCACTAAATATGATTTTGATTTTTTTAAAATCTTCACCCACTTAAAACATAATGATGTTGTTTTATAAAAAGAATAGCAGATTCAGTGACTCAAAACAGATGAGCATGTGTATATTTATAAAGTTTTATTAATCATAGAGCTAAAAAACGCAAAGATGTAATGATAACTAAAAAATCAGCATAAAATATAATAAACCACAAAATGGATCACATACATAACAACCTATCTAAAAATTAGAAAATGGAACTACCACAAATTGCTAAAATTCTCTCATTTGATCCATTTATCATATTATCAATTGTAACAAGAAATCAAATATATAAATCATGATGATAGGTCCTCTAATAGTGAGTATTATCTCTCATGTCATATCAAGTCTCTCAACACTAATTCTTAACTTAATGAATAAACCACATTTTTATTCTAGGTCAAATCAAATAAGATTTCTTAAAATAAATAAGAAAACATCAAATTGAATAAAAGTCTTATTAAAATAATAAAAGTATCTATGATTGTCATATCATGAAACCAAGTCTCATTCATATTACATGATTCTTAAAATTCTTTGGTAGCATGCCTTTAGTCAAAAGATTGACAATCATCAACTCAATGCTAACATGCTCAATGACCACTTTCTTTCCCTTAACATGTTCTCTTATGACTAAATATTTAATGTCGATGTGCTTACTTCGACTTTCATTCATGTTATTATTAGTCATAAATACTACAACAAAATTGTTCATAGTACAACTTCAACGACCTAGAAATAGAGTCTACAATTCTAAATTCAAATATAAAACTTTTAAACCACACACCATGTGAAGTAACCTTAAAATGAGAAACAAACTCAGTCTCTATAGTGGAAGTAGCAATCAAAGTCTGTTTTGCATTGCTCCAAGATACAACTCCATAAGCTAACATAAAATTGTAACTAGATGTAGATTTCCTGGTATCAATGTTGCCAATAAAGTCTGAATCAAAGTAGTCTGTTACCTCCAAATCATTAGTCTATTTATATAAGAGCATGTAATCCTTTGTTCCTTGAAAATATATCATTACATTCTTTATAGTTTTTCAATGGTCAACACCTAAATTACTCTGATATCTTCTCCAAACACCTTGCAAATGCAATGTCAGGTCTAGTGTAAACCTAAACATACATAAGACTTCCAACAGCTAAAGAATATGGAATATTTTTCATGTGTTCTTACTTGAGGTCAATTTTCGGGCCCTGACTTAATTCAAATATATCATCTTTCACAATGGGAGCTACACTTAAGGAATAATCTTTTATGTTAAACCTCTTTATAACCTTATTGATATAGGTCTCTTGAGATAAACTTAAAATGCCTTAAGATCTTTTTCTATAGATTTTAATACATATGACATAAGATGTCTCACCCATATCCTTCATATCAAAATTCTTGAAAGAAATTGTTTTACCTCATAACACATTTATCACTAGCCATAAATTCTAAACTCTATTAGATGTTGTAGAATTCATCTCATCTTTCATGATATTGTGTCATAAATTCAATTTCTTAGAATTCATGGCCTATAAAAATGTTTTAGGATCATTTTTTACTCTTGTATTATAGTTTGATTCTTATAAATACACTGCAAAATTACTAGAAATTGTTGACTTTTTGACTCTAGTAGATTTTTCTAATGATGCCTCATTATCCTGATGAAGAATTTGTTGTTTAATTGGTTGCTCAACAAGTTGTTCAATATTTACCTGTTACTCCTCGCCAACAACTCAATCTATAGTATCATCTTCAACAACTTGTGAAATTTGAATTTTTGGTTTCTAATATGCTTTTGAACTATAGTTGTGTGAATGACTACAAGTTTGTCATTTGATTCAGAGGATTGAGCTTCATAATGATTCGTTTCAAAGCAATGTCTTGAAATAGATCAATCCTACTAATCAAATTATTTTCAAGAAACTTTACATTTCTTGATTCCAAAATTTTGGAGCTATAAGATAGACAATAGAAACTTATACCTTTTGCGAATTATAAATTCTTACTGTAGATGGACATCCCTAAATGGGTATATGTCACAAACTAGATTTTCAATCTTTGAATAACTCAAAAGGTGTCTTTGAGCCAACCTTAGTCGAAACTTTATTTAATATATACACAGTTGTCGAAGTTTTGCATTACTCCTCATATTTCTCACCATGTCCATCAAAGTTTGATTTCTTCTTTCTGTCACACCATTTTGATTTGAAAAACTTGACATAATGTATTAAGCAACAACCCCATGTTCTTGAAAATATTTCTCAAATGAACCTGGTGCTTGTCCATTCTTTATGTATCTACTATGGTATTTTTCACCTATATATGATTTCACAATCTTAATTTGTTTTCTACATTGTAACTCCACTTTAGACTTAAAAACTTTAAAGACATCTAAAAATTCATCTTTAAAATGAAGTAAGTAAAGATACATATATCATGAATAATCATCTAAAAAGCTGATGAAGTATCTCAGAATATTTGTGTCCATGTATGGACAACAAATATTTGTATGAATGATTTCCAATAAGTTTAAACTCCTCTCAGCATCATTTTTAAACTTGTTAATTTACTTACCCTTGATAAAATCTACATAAGTCTCAAAATCAGTAAAAGTCCAAAAGACTAAGTACTTTTTCATTTACTAATCAATTAATTCTCTCAATGGAAATATGTTTTGATCTTCAATGTCACAACATATAGGATTCATCATTCACAATACATCATTTTAATCCAACACACATAGAATTACAAATGACATTATTTTGCAAAACAACAGAATAAAAAAGACCCTCACATAGTTCACCAAAACTAATAATTTCATATTTATTTGATAAGATAAAACTTAGGGGTGGCACCTGCACGAGGTAAGGATACTCCCCCGCTCCCTGTTCCCACACCCCATTTTCTTCCCCGTTCCCATCCCCGATCCCTGCCATAGGAAGATTTTTTTCCCCATCTTCATTCCTCGCTTCTCCACGAATCCCTACAGATTTTTTTGAAAATACATAAAAAATAAAAAAAATATTAAAAACTATAATTTTATATTATTGTCATTTTTTAAAAGAATGTTACATTTTATTTTAAATTAGTAAGTTACTATATTACTCCTATATGTATGATATTTAAAAAAGTTATTTAAATATTTTCATATATGCTCGAGAATTCAGAGAACCCGCTAGGTGAGAAAATTGGTCTCTATTCTTAAATTAGCTGCAGGAGAATTTTTCATCCCCTTCCCTACAAGGAGAAATTTCTCACATTCAAAACCTCATTCGAGACAATCTCTGCGGGAATCCCCGTAGCTGAAGATTAATTATCACCCCGATAAAACCAGAATATGAAAAATTAAAAGAAAAGTTCAAAAGTACAAATTTTGAAATAGAAATTAAATTCTAGAAACATAAAATATTTTTTCTTAATACAAAATAAAGTCACTATTTAGTATTTAACCGAAATCAGTCCACCATATATTATGATTATCAATAACTATATTATATTCATAACAAACAAAATAAAATAGAATATCTAATATTTTTCCTTTAAATTAACTTAATTCTTCTTACTCTTTTTTAAAATATTTTTCCTTGATAATGAGTGTTCATTCAAAGAAGAAGAACTTTCACCCTTTAACTCAAACACTGTACATATAAAATGCACATGAACACAATGCCAAGTGGTGTGATGTTATTAATTGATATCTAATATTATATGTTCTTAAATATTTTATCAGAACAAACAGCATTTAAGTTATCTTTAAACTTAAACTGGATTAGTTTGACTCAATTTGTGACCCACAAATCTAAATCAAAACTCGACATTTTTTAACACATTAAATGCAAAAAAAAATGTTTTTAGATGAAAAAAAAACATAAAAAATAAATTTCAATTCACTTTCTATCTCCTATTTTGATTAAAAAGGGTCAAAACACATTAAATCCATATAAATAAAAACAAAAATTTTAAACCCTACAAAAAGGAAGACAATTGCACATGATACTTCAATACCAAATTTAAGATGTATAGATATGTGAAGTTAATATTAAATCAAAAACTAAAGTTAATCTTTAATCATTGCAAATCGACTTGCACTAAGTACAGCACAATTTTGATTTTTCTAAATTCTCATTTACTCAAAACACGAAGCACCTGTGTTTATAAAGCTCTATCCACCGTACAACTCAAAATAGGAAAGAAAACTTATATGGAGAGATAACACATCATTCATAAAATAGATGATAGACTTGCTCAATTTAAGAAAAAATCCAAACTAAATCGAGTCAAATACTACATATTCAAATATACTACTGTTCACAGTGGATTTCTAAATTAATAACTTAATTAGCTGCTATTTAAGATATAGTCCAATTAGATTAAGATTGCCTTTACGAAGATCAAAACAGCTCCATTAGATAATTTATAATATCAATTGCACAGTAACAAGAAAAGAAAAATGAACAAACAAAATTGAGCCTGGAAAATAAGATAAACCAATGACTGAGAAATTGCGTATAAACCTATTTTTATTTATTCCTCTGTTTTCCCTTCTTTGCAGTGGCCTTTGCGGATCCTTTGCCCTTTGGAGCCTTGCCCTTCACCTTGGAACCTCCTTTTCCTGCCTTACCCATTCCACGTTTTCTAGCATCCTTCTTCATTCTGCGATCAACAAGGACTTTTCCCTTGCCAGTTTTAACTTGGACACCTTTCTTTGCAACTACATATTCCTTTTGAGGCCTCTTCGGAACAGCCTTTTTATATAGTTGTTCAATTTGCTTCCTCTTCGAACGATCAGATATGTCTGTCTGATCAGATATAGCATTGGCCTTCTTCCGTACCTTCTCAAGTTTCCTCATTGCAACACGCTTCTTCCGTGCTTTGGCCTCCGCCACCTTCTTTGCAGGCCGAGCATCAATTTCTTTAAATTGCGCCCTCATTGCAGCAATTTCCTCTTTGGTGACAGGCTTTATTGGCTGGCGGTGTCTCCTTTCCTCATCTACAAACCACTTCGGCAATCCCTCATCATCAAACATATACTTGTTATATGCATCATCAAGTATTTGCTCCCGTTGCTTTTTCCGCATCATCTTCTTAGCATAAGCCAATATCTCAGCTTTGGTTTCAATATCTTCCTCTTCTGATTCATCAGAAGATGAATCATCACTTGAATCTGTTGCAGGTGCAGGAACAATCTCAAAATCATCCTCTGCCTTAGATACTTGAGGTTGAGGGCAATCTACCACTGCTGGAGCTGTTGATTTATTTTCTTTTATCCTTTTTGCAATAGATGTCGTTTCCTTAGGCTCATCTACATCCATTTCATCTTTACTCTCATACTTCTCAAAGTCTCCCTCCCCTACAGCTTCAGCAAAAACATCCTGACTAAACCACTTATTCATTATCTCCTCTTGGGTGGGCTCTGCCCCATCATTAAGTGGCACCATCAATGGATTTGCTTCTTGATCACCCTGATCTTCATCAGAATCATATTTGGATGGAACAATATCATCGTCCTCACCACCCTGCACAGCCAAAAGAACATAATCTACACGTAAAAATATCCATTTTGCACACAAAAAATGGTACAATAGGCCATATCAACATGAAAACTCAAGTTTATTAGCAAAGTATTGGACACTGAAGGTTTGTTTGAATGTTAAGAGGGGCCAAAAAGGGAATAAACTAAAGGATATTTTAAGCCATAGAATGGGATAAAATAATGATTTTTCTAACCATTATTTGGATGCTTAAAATTAAAATCCTAAAATATTGGGAGAAATTTAAAAGGTTCAGAAAATTAAATGGGTGGGTTTTCAAGAATCACATTATCATATCTAATTTTCTTCATCTCCTTTTATCTTGCTTCCAAATAGGGTAAATTAAAGATCTAAGTATACCACAATCACAAAACAAAATAAAATTACTCATACCTCCAAAAGTTGGGCCTCTGCATCATATGATTTCTTAATTCGCTTCCGTTGCTTGGTACTTCCTTCCTTTCTTATCACAAACCGCTCATAAGCTCGATCCAATAGCTCTTCCATTTGTTCATTGTATCTGATATCAGTATGACATCAGCTAAAAATTATTACAAATTAATGATGATAGCATAACTGAACATGAGCAACTATATAAAAGGAACCAATCAATCACCTTTTCCGTTCCTCATCAGAATCCTCTCTGTCACTGGATGAATGGTCTGGGCCTTCATGGGTTTCATCATTCTCACTGTCTTCTACTTCACCTTCATTTACTTCATACTCACAGTTATCAACCGCTACCAGATCCTTCTTACCCTGAAAACTCAAAGCAATAACCAAGAAACAGAATTAATGCCATGTTGAAGAAGTTTTAAATGAAAAGATGATTCAATATATAATCGACAGCATAAAGCCATGGTTACACAGTTAACAATATATACCACTAAATGAACAGAAGAAATTACTCAATCCAAAAGGTAAGGGATGCCCTCTGTCAGGTTTTTTTATTCAGGACTTTGCATACATAAAAGTAACATGCAACTCTAAAAAGTCTGTTCACTGCACATGGTTCCATATAGAGTTAATGGAATAGTAAGGTATTCACCAAGTGTTACACAACATGAGTAATCTAACATTATATTCTAGACCACCTGTTACAAAGCAAAATTAAATTCTCAGTAACATATCAAACATCTGTATTTTGCAAGCCTGTCTATAATGAGGGGAGAAAAAAGTTTATAATGAAAAACCAGTTGGTGCATTTCTATAGGTTATACCATTTTCCAAAACCAAAAAATGCTAAAAAGACTACAGCAAACCTTCATAGAAGAAAGAGAAAATAACTCCTGATCAACATAACCATCCTCTATTGCATCCATTTGCATCCCTGTTGCTTTTCGTGCCTTGTCCTACAAGATTCAAATTATTAAAGCAATGAATCAGTTTGATCCCATCCACTTAAAAAAGGGACCAACAGAATTGAACTTAGAATGTCAAGACACATAGGATTAACAGCGTAGGTGTTAGGTCCAGTGCGGATCCCAAAATCATTTGTCGGACCAAACATTCTGATGCATATAAATAAATGTTATACTATCATATTCTGCAAATAAATATTCACAATAATTTTGCACAAGTTCCAAAATTTATGCAAGTAAATATCCAATCCCAATTATTCAGTGGCAGCTAAGAACCTTAGCTCTCCTTTTTGCTAGGAGCTTTTTGGCACGTTTCTTCTTACGGTCCATCACATTTGTCAGTTCCTCCATTTCATTGAGTATTCTATCTTCTTCATCCACCTTATGCTCCTTTTCCATCTCTTCTGTAGTATTAGGATCAGGCTTCTGAGTAGGTGAAAGAGCTTTTCTCATGTGAATCCGCCACCTACATGGAACCAACAGATACAACATCAATACTCCACATAAAAGAAAAATAAACCTAGTATTAAACTTCTTTTTTAAAATATGCCAAAAAATCATGGAGAGAAAATTCAAGCCATGTAATTACTTTAAAAGATGCTTGAAGTCTTGCTTTCCCAAAACTCTTAAATCATCGCAGAGAGATTTTACCTGCCACAACCACATTCAAAACATTTAAAATTAATAACATTGATCATTATTCAAGTTTTAAACCACCACTAATCACTCAAAAAGGCACAATCGCATAATGCAGACAAAATACCTCTTCAGTTGTTAAGTCATGATCCTTGATTGGTAAATCAGCAGGATCACTAAAGGTTATGGAAGTGACTGAACCAAGGATCTCCAGAGGAGAATCTGACCAAATGAAATTTGCAGCTGAAGACACCTTCCTTAACGTAGTGTTTCCATCTTCGTATCTGTAGACATGAAGTAGTTAGCAACAAGTACAGTGTATTTGAAGCACAAGATCACAATAAAAGGGTAAGCAAATATGGGGGGTGGAGTGGGGAACAATTTTTCTGCTATTTAAAGCAACAAATCAGCTGAAGTGGTTGAACAGTCAACTTTTTCAGTCCTAATGTTATCTTTTTTAAGGATAGCTTAACAATCTTAAAAATTAATTTGTTATTACTCGAGGTGAATAGAGTGGATAAAATAAAAAGTTAAGATCATCCATTGCAAGATGATGAGCAGAACCATCTGAGCAAGGATGAAAAAAAAGCACATACGGCAAACCAAGTCTCATAAATAAGCAGTAGTTACCCATCACGATGCCTCTTTTGCTTATTTTCTCTAAGTACATCCACCACCTGCAACAATGATTCAACAACCAAATAAATCAAACAAACAAAGGAAAATCAAAATTGCCAACCCAACATCCCCAAAAACAAATTAAACTACCTTCGGCTGCGGTTCCACAGACCCCTGAAAGAGATGCTTAATATCGAGAAGGCGTGGATCAATCTTCGCAGGGGCCTTGTACCTAAGCCCCAAAACATATATCTCAGCAGATTCAGAACGACTAGCAGCAGGTTTATCCACCTCAACCTTTTCAAACAACTGCATCACAAAAAATTCAAGCACCACAACAAACAAATTTCAACAATTAACGCTGAATTCCATCAAACCACACAAAAACACAAACATAATTAATATCATTATTTTTCAATCAAAAACCTCACCTGCTTCAAGCAATACACTACAGAACTGTAATCCTGCGACCTGAAAATCTATCAAACAAAAAAAAACAGCAATAAGTAATAATTAAGTTACAATAGCACAATTAGGTTAAATGAGAATGAGATGAATACCTTGGTGACGAATATACCCTTGGGAGCCAAGAACTGAGTGGCTAACTTGACGGCGTCAATGACGAGAGCGTTCTGGCTCATGGCTTCCTGAGCCCATGCACCACCGACGTTAGGAGAACCGTCGTGCAAAATGACGTCAAAGGCGCGGCAACCATGGTCGTTCATGAGCTTCTTGATGCGTGACTTGCACTCAGGTTTGGTGATGTCTTCTTGGATGGCGATGGCACCGCGGATAGGAGCGATGGGTGCGAGGTCAACGCCGATGACGAGGTGGTCGACAGGGACGCGCTGGACAGCGACCTGCATCCAACCGCCGGGGGCGGCGCAGAGGTCGAGAACAGCGCGTGCGGATTCGAGGAAGCGAAACTTGGAATTGAGCTGAACCAGCTTCCATGAGGCTCTTGACCTGTACCCGTGCTCTTTCGCCAAGTGATAGTACTTGTCCAAACGATGCTTTCCCTTCGCCTTCCCCATTGATGCCTCTCCCAATGCTCTGCACCTATGTCTTCGGGTTTTTGTTAGGGTTTTGCCACAAACAAGCTGTAGTCAAACTCCAATCAGGTTGGGCTTCGTTTTCGATATTGGACTTGAAATCGGAAAGAGTCCAGGGAGGATTTTCTTAACTTTACGGTCCACTGCAATTTAAATAGATACACCAACGATACACTTTTAATTATTAATTAAATTTATTATAACTAAAAAAATATAAGAAAGAAGTATTAATTTATAAATAAAAAAATTAGATTCAAATTATTTTAATAATTTTCAATAAATTTTAATTAATAATTAAGAATATATTAGCATGTATTGCTATCATTCTTCACACACTCTTTTCCAATCTTCACTCCCCTCTCTTGGAAAGAAAAACTGATAAAAAAATAAGACATTATTGCGTAATAAACATTTATATATTTATTTAATATTAAGTTTTAAGATATTATTAATTATTGATTGGTTTAGTATATCGTCTTGTGTAAATAAAGTTTACAAAAGTATCCGAAAGGGTTCGTCGCATCAGAATCGGATTGTGTTGTAATTCTAGAATTAGTGCTCCCCGTTCAAATCTCAGATATTTTTGTTAAAAATATGGGAAGATGAGTTAAGACTGGATAGTTAGCTGTGAGAGTCGACGGGGAAACCGCCATTGTCTTCCACTCGTTCGTTGCCATTGTGGAGAAAGAAAGAAACTTTTATCTTGTAATGTTATGATGAGATTCAGACCATGTCAAGAATTTTGGATAATGATACAAGAAGCCCTTCAACTGTAATAGTTGTCGATGTCTTATCACGTAGTTGTCCCGGTTAAATATCTCTAGTTGATTTGACGAAAAAAATCAAATGAATATATTAAGACTGAATAAACGAAATATTTTATAAACTTTTTTAGTCAATGTCTGTTCAATCTACATGTTTAATTTCCCGTTTAAACAGTTGAAAAATTCTAATAAACAATCACATAAAATTCCATTTCAAATAGAAAGTATCACCAGCATTCATTGGTAGGACACTAATTAAAATAACATTATTAATATATTTTACTAAAATTCTTATAATAACTTTAACATAATTATTAATTAAAAAACTATTCATTAATTTTCTAACAATGCTTTAGATGATCCTAATAAAAATGCTGTAATGTAACTAATGCCTAGTCCAATGTCTAAACCGTTTATTCTATTTCAATTCAAATAACCACATTACTTTATTACACATTACCACATCTTGCGGCTGACGACATTTTGCTTTCTGATTAACCAGGTGTTGCGTTTCAAATGCGGAAGCAAAGAGAATAAGCCATTCGGCCAAAAATAGAAGTTACTTTTGGGATAAAAAAAAAATGCACGTGAAGATGCTGTCAATAGTACATCTAATATCCTTATAAGTAAAAAGACAGAAGCTTTTGGCAAATAGTTTTCCCTGGACAGGAGAAAAATGGAAGTGCCATATGAAGTTTGTCTTCAAAGCATGGGAGTACAAGGAAAGGTTGCAGCATCGCAATACAAAACTAGATTTGTAATAAAATCTAAAACTGAATCAAATACTGGTGATATCAAACAATGACATTCACTGCCAGCATTAGCAATTTAGCATGTCTTCTGGTATCATAAAACGAGTTGACACAATTAGATTTTCTGTAACTGCATATTGGCATCCATCATACCCTGCCTACAAATGCCTTCAAATAAAAGGAAAAATCAACTACCCAGGACGCCCACAAAACCTAATTTTGACATCTGTATTCTTCAAATCGTGACAAGGCCAGGCCAAGCTTCAGTCAGCGCGGGTGCCACTGCTGCTTGCAGCAGATTTCTTGCCACTATACTTCTGCAACATATTGGAACAAAAGACCATTATCAGCCAGGTAAATGATATAAAATAAAGCAAATCTTGCTTCCGCTGGACAAAATGTACAAACAAATAACAGGTGCACAAGGAAAATCATAAAAGGTAATTTAAGCATAAGATAACCTGCTTTCCAAAGTTGAATGGAATGTATTTGTATTTGATCATGTGTGCAATTTGGCGCCTCATTGTAAGAACAAATAGAACAATCCAATAACAGAGTAATATTGGCCAGAAGACAGGAACATCAAATACAGAAAAGAAAGTCATCACAAATGCTATGCAGAAAGCCTTTGTGAAAGAATACCTGCAGCCATAATAACAATTCTAATCATTATTTTCATTGATAAATGGGGATTCCTTTACACTGTTCCCAACAGAAACAGGTAGGGTTTAGTAGGTCAATAATGAAAATTAAATTAATCATCAAAAAAAATATAAAGGACACACATTAATAGCACCACCCTCTTTCAGGAAAACATAATCAAACAAATCAACTCACACCAACAAACTCACTGAATATAAAATTTCTTATTTATGAAGTTAGTCATACAACATATACTCTGCATTTTAGACAAGAGTTGTTCCATAAAAGTCAGTTTTCAACAAGGGTAAGGGGATATCCACTTATTTTGTTATGTAAGAACAGCGCCCTTTAAAATTTTGGTTGTTTGGATTCTTAAAACTGAGATTTTAAGTGTAAAATTTTTTGCAGAAGCGACCAGACAAACAAGGTCAAAAGTTCTTTGTACTAAGACAAAATGGATGATAAGACAAAATGAACTTCACAAGCAAAACTTGGACTACTAAAGAAATGATATTTTAAAAGAAAATGAGCTGTATTATTATTTATACAACACAGTTTTTCTCAGTCTCAATCCATCACATGAACCATCTTATCTTATCCCATACTCTCCCTCTCTTTCTCTTCCTACCTCTCTTTTTGTTGTACCATTTTTTGTATAAATACAATTTCTCGAGAAATTTTGGAGTATGGAATGATAAACCAACACAATCATCTGAAATTAAGTTTGACCTACCAACACAACCTAATTGTATGACATTAAAAATATGAAACAAGCATGTTCCTAGGTTTTCAACATGGCTGCAAATCTAACTCTAAATACTTGTAAAGATGAAACCAGAAAAACAAATGACAGAAAAGAGTGCTTAAAGTCAGAGTTTGATCAACGGAAAATAATGTGATCAGAAAAGTTTACAATTCAAGAAACATTTTTACAAAAAAAAGGAAATGATTGTTTCCATGTAATTATTTGCTTCTATAAGCAATGACTAGCAGCCTACAGCCAAGTGCCTATGGCGATTAACTGATTGCTGAATACATGCAGTCAGAGCTGGGGCAGACTAATAGCTAGTTAATTTCTTTTGTCCCTCTTAAACAATGGAGTTGTTCTCTAATTATCAGAAAATTATTTTCCAAAAAAGTAAATGGAAAAATTACGGAAAGATTTTCTAGAAAGCAGTTACCACTATAAATACAAAAGCTTATACAGTTATACATCCAAATGGAATTCAGAAATGACTAGGCGTCATAACCAAATAGACAGAATGACAAATTAACATAAAAAATTTACAAATGTCACAGAAAATAAAAAGATCGAGTACCAAGCAAAGAGGCATTGAAGCAGCAAGCCAACAACTACAAACATGAAGCCCAAATTTAATCAAAGTTTCCTTTTAAAGATCAAATTCAAAATGCTTAAAAGAAACTTCGCAGCAATCAACAACACCGTCATGTTAATATGTTAAATACCGTACCACCCACACAACAAAATTCCAAAATTACCAGAACTTAAACTCAGGCAGTCGGCGAATGAACGGTTTGAACTCATCAGAACCTTTAGTCGGTAGCAAAGGTCCATCCGACGGCTCCAGCTCAGGATCAACCAAAGGTGACAGAAACCCAATCAACAGATTCAGCAGGTAGATTCCAAGTCCATATGACACGATATAAAATCCTTGGACATAAAAAACCCGCAAAACATAGATCGCCGCAATAACCAAAGTCCCAACCCATCTATACGTAGTGTGCGGGGTAGATTTATCCAAATAATATTGAAATAGCTTCGAAAATTCTTGCCACCATTGGTTCACGGGTGCAGCAGCCGAGGCACTGCTGCCTCCAGTTCCTTCCATTCAATTCACAATCTGCACATAAATAACCGAGAATTTAAAACAACCAATCCATTCACAAATCTGACAAATATAACCCCATGCCATTGCCTATTAGAGCCCACATCCACACGTAATCAAGCACAAGCATGCGTACAGTAATTAACCGACATTTATTTGAGTTGAAGAACGAAAAATTGAAGGAAACCCTCAAATCCAACGAATTGGAACAACGAAGATAAACGATAAATATATTTTAGAAATCAGACCTTCACGTTATAATGATTGTAACGTTTATTTAAAATCCGATCAGAACAGTAAAAGAAATAAATCGAGTGAAATTTTCGTGGTGGCAGATAAGCTCCAAATCAAGATCTACCGTTGAGGATATATTAATTTGCAGAATGAGAAAACCCTAAAATATTGGAGGATGGAAACGAAATCCAGGAGAGAGAATAGAAACAGGAAATGAGAGAAAGCGAAGAAGAGGAGCTGACCTGCGAAGACGGTTTCGGGCACGAAGAGCGTTGAATTAATGGATGAAGGAAACCCCAGAGCTAGCAGATCTACAAGGAGACGCGAATTTGAGCTTCTAGTTTTTCTTTTTCTTCTTTTTTTTTCCTTCTTTTATTTTTAACTTATGTCGTTTATATATTTTAATATGTTTTGTGATTAATTGAGAGTCGAATCTTGAACGGCATATTTCTTGTCCGTCGTTTAGGTGTATGACTAACCATGGCGCTGAAAGAGGGTAATTTTTTTTATATGAAAAAAAATGAAAATTTATCAAAATATGGTGTTTTAAAAAAATTATAAGAAAAAAATTTGAAAAAAATTTGTTAGTGTCAATTTTTTACTAAAATTTTTTATTATTTTTTCAAAAATTGTTGTGACAGTTTTTTATTATTAAATTGTTATTATTTTTAGAAAACAATAACTTTTTTATTAATTTTTAATATTTTTTTAAAAAATATCAATGACAAATTTTAGATTTTAATATTTTTTTGTTATTCTAGTTGTATTTGTATAAAAAAAATTGGTAATAATTTTTAAATTTTTATAAAAATATCATATTTATATATATATATGGACAAAATCGTTTTATATTAGAATAAGTCTAAAAATTCTTAAACTTGATTTAAGCTTTTTATTTTACTTACATTTAACAGATTATAATTTATTACTTCACTTATCGTTAGATATAAATTAAAAAAATACTCATATCAAGTGTAAGTAAATTTAATATATATATATATATATATATATATAATTTAATATTTAAAAAATATTGCTAAGAACTATTTTTTTTTTATATTATTCGTATGTAATAATGTCGTAAAAGAAGGTGTTAAAGAGATTTGTACTAATATTTTTTTTAAAAGGGTGTGCTATGTGATTAATTGTACTCATTCTTTTTATTTTGACCTGACTCTAACTCTATCTTTTAAAAACTTTTATGAGGTTGAGATTATCTAAATACAATTTTATTTAAAGTACATATTTATTATATTAAATTTATAAAAATATATACTTTATTTAAAAAAAATTATTATAACCTTCTTATAATAGATGTATTTTTTATAAAAATTCACTATTTTTAATTTTTAATTTCAACTATAGAATTGAGTTAACGAAACTCTATTATTAAATACAAATGCAAAAACTTTATTTTTATCTTTATAAATATAAAAATAGATGAATTTTTTAGAAAAGTTTGTCTTCACAACTACATTATTTCAGTACAATTAACGTATTTATCAATTTCTTTGTAACTTTACTATTAGCATATTAAATATTAATACATATATTCTGGGTTTTGAAGAGAAATTTGTCTTTACAACTATATTAATTTAGTACAATTAATATATTTATTTATTTATTTATTTGTAACTCTAATATTAACGTATTAATACATTTATTTTTACAAATTAATGGGTTTATAAAGTCGAAAGGTCATAAAATAATAAAATAAATAAGAATTAATGAGTTTATATATTTGAAAGGTCATGCATGTTATATTTTAATATGTTATGTATAATCAAATGATTTGAATATTATAAATACAATTAAATGGTGCATGAGAGCTATATGAGCGGACCTAAAATATTTAATAAAAAGAAATAAATTGTATTTTATTTAGTATATATAAGGGTAAGTATAAGTTGTTTGTTTAAAATAATATTTCTACAAAATGACACCTATAATTTCAATACTTTCTAAAATACAATCTAGGAAGGTGGATTGGAGGATATGGTTCAAATCATTCCTTTGTGGTTTTCTTCTATGTTTAAAAATAAAAGTCAATACAATAGCATGGACATAATTTTAATCAATGAAAAGGTGAAGATGTTAAATTTTTTTAGTCAAAATGCATAAAAATTTCTTTTATTTAATTTAATTCCTTCATTTTCTCTCATTATTTCAAAATTCAATGATTCATTAGACTATTAGGAAGAATATTATATCACCTTATGAAAAAACTACTGCATAAAAACAATATGTATATCATGGACAATTTTGTAGTAATTACTCCTAAAAAGAAGTTGTGAATCACTAAAAGCAAATGAAAGTTAAATTTGATAGCAATCACCAAAGTTACAAAAGTCAAATGTGACAACATCTTTTTTAACTGTTTTGATTTTATTCCGTTCTCAAAAATTTTAAGTGAGTTGGATGAACTCTATCTAATTGGTGAGTTCTATTTTTTCTATATTTGATCTTATATGCTACTTTATTATTTTTAAAGAATATTTGATACATGTTCAATCAGATGTCATTGGTTATGTAGTTGAGAAATATAATTTCAACTACACAAAGAAATAGAAAGAATTAGTTATTTATTTCCCTCCTTTCATTACTTTATATTAATTAAAGGTTATATTATATTGAATTTGTTTCATAGGAATCAAAAAATTATTTGCACTTAATGGGAGGAGTTTGCTTATCAGATAGTTAATTTTTTAAACATTGAAGATTCTAATACTTTACCTATTGTAGTTATTTGATAAGTCTGTATTTAGGTCTTCTTTTACAACCCATATATTCATATTTGATCTTTATTTTATTTTAGTTTTACACTAATTTATATATTAATTGTGCAGTTTGGTATAAAGAGGCCGCAAGTGGATTTTGGGCCCAAATTGATAGAAGATTAGAGCTTCGCAGTAGCCAGCACGCCCAGACCCTTCCAACAAGCACGGGGTGCTTCGAACCCATGCACGGTCGTGCTTAAGGCCTTGTACGACTGTGCTCATCTGCGGGAAGTCCAATTAATTAGAGTTTTTAGGGTTTCCAAACCCTATTAAAGGAAAGACCGGAGGCACCATTGGACACACCGTTTTAGACCAGTTTTTGACATCTTGGCTTGGGCTCTAGAATACATTTGATCTCGTCTCTCTTGCACGGGATCTTTGACATACTCTTGCCGGGACTTGGAGCTTCGAACGATCGTACTTGAAGACCAGGAACACATCTCACACTCTAGTTTTCTATTTCTTTTCTTTATGGCTTTATTCATGATTGTTTTAGTTCTTTTCTTTAGCATGAGTAACTAAGTCCATAGCTAGGGCTATGAGAACTATTGTTTGAATCTGAATTTGATTTCCGCTATGTGATTAGCTTTTATCCTATTATGCTTCTTTCTTAATCTTAATTAATTATATCGTCAGGCGACCGTACCTCGATTAATTAATAGATCTATAGGTAAAATGAGACAAAGGATTAGATGGACCAAACCAATCTTTCTCTTCTAATCATTATTAAATTAACAAGTTCATAGACTCCTTAGGCTTTCTTTAATTGATGTCTTGCATGACCATTGGGGATGTTAATTTAGATAAAAAAAATATTAATATTGCATGACCATTGGGTATTAATAGTATTTGTATGAATGATTGGTAATCACAAAGAAATTAAATTTAGAGTTAAACAGAAAAATAACATAAATGATTGAATGAAAAATTCCATACGCCCTAGGTTCCTCTCTGATAAGTTTAACCAAGACGTGCATTGTATTCTTTGTTCTTAGTTTATAATTATAAATTCTTATTTTTATTAATCTCATATCTTTGAAGCTTAAACAATTGAATTAAGAAATTCTTAGTAATTGGAAAACAATCTTTGTGGGACGATATTTCGAGAACTTAATTTAAAAACTCTTTATTACTTCTCGATGGGTACACTTGCCCTCCGAACATTATTCAATTATGTAAAATAAAAATATTTGGTGGTATGATTCTTTATTTATATTGAACTCCTTTTACTCTGTGTGATAGTTATTATTATCAACAAACTATATTTCATGGTTATTTTAGAAACTTTAGGCATATCAAATGCTTATAATGGGGTAAAGTTGTATATCAATTCTAACATAAAAAAAAGACTATTGACTACAAGAATAAGTATATTTTTTAATTACTTTTTATTTATAGAGATATCATCATATTCTGTATGATGTTTCCTATTTTTGTTAACTTATAAACTATCCAATTTGTGGTATTGGATGTGAATGATATATGTATAAGTCATGTATTAAGTTAGATATCTAGATACTCTTCTGTTTCAATAGAAGATAATTTGCTCCAAGGTCAAAGAATGAGCATACATGAAATAATTGAGACAAATTATATATGTTTTGTATTAAAATAATCAACTGAAATATAAATAATTATTTTTTAAATCTATAAAAATTATAATTTGAAGTTTCATTTTGAAAAGGTTGGATTTGCTTTTAATATTGTCCAAGTTAATGAAATTGAATATGAGAAGGGATGGCAATATGACTCATGTAACAAGTGTTTAAAGAAGTTGAAAGAAAATCAACATAAGTTTTTTCATTAAAATTGTGAAAGGTGTATCATTCCTACTCCTATGTACATGTATATTTTTTAAATTATTAATAATTGAAATTAAGGTGTCAAATTTTGTTTTCAAAATAAAACAACTAAATCTTGCATATTAGTAAAATGATGATGACAGAAGGAGATTCAAAAGCACTTTGTCAACTTAAATTATTGACAATTTGAAGGTTATAATTTATCTTTAATAAATTTAATCATCTTTAAATTAAAATTCTATTTTAATTGATAAATTTACCTACTATCAAATCTCTATTTTTTTTATTTTTTTTATTATGTTTGATGCATGAAGATTTTGAATAAAGGTGTTTGTTTAACTATGAGCAATATTAAAGATGAGCAAATAATTAATATTACGAATGTAGTAAATGAATTGACTTCAAATGAGTAACAATATTTTAAAAAGTATATTTCAAATGTTAATTATTTAAATTATGTTAGTATTCCCAAATAGTTTTTGAGTATGAAATGAATCCATTAGTTCTTGAGATATACACAAAGTTTAAGCACCAAGCATTTGAAGAAAGTCATAATTAAGAAAGAGTTAAATGTTTAATCATGGATTTGATGCATTAAGATATTTTTGGCAAATAAGTTTTTTTTTCTTTTTAGTTATATGTTTATGTTATTTTTTTATTTTGAAATTTAGTTATAAAGTTATTTGCTGATATTTGAATATATTTGAATCATGGTATTCTCTACCAATGTTATGTGAGTGCATAATTTTTTGAATTTATGAATTTAACTTTTAAGTTCTTTTAAAAA